TTATTTTACGGTCACGATTCAAAAAATTTATAGATCACAATTTATTTATCGGTCACAAATCATAAATTTATACGTCACAATTTATTCATCGGTCACAAATCTATCAAATTAATAAGTTACATATTATTCATTACTCACAAATCACAAATTTTATATGTCACAAATTATTTTACGTTCACAGTTCTGAAATTTTATAGGTCATGATTTGTTTATCAGTCATAAATCAAAAATTTATACGTCACAATTTATTTATTAGTCACAAATCACAAATATTATAAGTTACAATTTAGTAGACAGTCACAAATTAATGATATTCAATCGAAGATTGAAATATTTAGGCGTCCTTCAAAATTTTGGATGAGAACGAAAAATTACACTTGATGCGCGAAAATTTCGCATAATTTAGGACCACTATCTGTATCAAAACATTGATTTCAAAAAGACAAACTTGAAGAAACAAAGTGAGTGTGATTCTAGATGTTTGAATTTTATATGCCGTTAATTTTAGAATTAACTTGGTTCGATTTTAAATTTTTATTGGATCGAATCGGACCAGCCTATCCGACTCAAATCGAGTGACCCAGCCAATTAATTCTAAATCGCAACTTCTACTCCTCGAATGGTGGATGATTCTTTTTCTCTCCTAGTTGGAACATAATGAAAACTTCTCGAATGTTGGATGATTCCTTTTCTACTTCTAGTCTAAAGAAAAATAAATGACCAAAATCAAATCTTCTAGAAGGTTGGATGATTCCATTTACTCCTCTATAGTTTGAAATAAATAAATAAACAAACGACCATAATGAAAACTTCTCGTTGGCTTGAATACCCTGTCCCACCTGACCAAACTCCACCGTAGAAATACAAAAAATAATAATAACAATTGTCCTTTTGAGGTGGTCGTATTCTTTTCAAAGAAAATGACGCAATAGTGAGGCAAAGATGGATACCTTTTAGAGATTAATAATAATATTGAGGGCCAACGGTCCGCGTGCTAACAGCCAGAAAGACATCGTCATTTTCTTTAGACAGTGTAAACGAATCTCCATTGTTTATTATACATACACAACTACTTATGGAATCAAAATACAAAACATAGCCCCCCGGGCACATCCAAGTTGTCAAATGATGGGCACTGCTAGACTTGCAATCTCAGGGTGAGGAATTCAATTCCTGGATGGAGCGGTTAAGCGTTGTAATACTTAATTTGGGTGGAGAAATTGTCCTTTTGAGGTGGTCGTATTCTTTTCAAAGAAAATGACGCAATAGTGAGGCAAAGATGGATACCTTTTAGAGATTAATAATAATATTGAGGGCCAACGGTCCGCGTGCTAACAGCCAGAAAGACATCATCATTTTCTTTAGACAGTGTAAACGAATCTCCATTGTTTATTATACATACACAACTACTTATGGAATCAAAATACAAAACATAGCCCCCGGGGCACATCCAAATTAGCAAATGATGGGCACTGCTAGACTTGCAACCTCAGGGTGGGGAATTCAATTCCTGGATGGAGCAGTTGAGTGTTGTTATATTCAATTTGAGTGGAGCAGTTTGGTAATGTAATATCCATGGAGAAAG